ATGGAAGTTCTAATTTAGTGTGAGATTTTAATTCAGTGATCTGGAGTTTATGCACAGAAGAATGATGATATGAACTAAAGCTGAATTACAGAAACACTTGTAAATTTAAAAAAAAAAAACCTTCTCTGTGTCTCAACAATACAAAACATGATTCAGAATATCCTAAAATTAAGAAACAGTTACAGTATAGTGCTTTATTAAACAGAAAGAAATCATTGATTTTCTGCACATGAAATCAGGCAACAAAAGTATTTCCAATTTCTCATTATGTCCAGCAATGAAAAATGACAAGTTGATGACTTACACAATTTTTATTGATGAAAACTGGAATGAAGTAGGAATAAGTCCTAGCAAAGGAGTAGTAATAAGACAGGCTTTGCAAGTTTGACTGTGAAGTAATGTTTTTAAGCCCACTAGTTATTAGATAGGAAAATGAAAGATAGATTGATAGAGAGATAGGTAGATAGATAATGTGGTTGACAAGAAAGAAAATAAGGTATTTACAAATTAAAAATTCAGCATTTTTAAACAAAGATGAATATAATCTTTTTATTAATATGTCTAAACAATCCACTCATGGTGTCATAACATGCAATAACTCCACTTGGGACATTAAAGTGATTAGAAGAAATAAGAAAACTCAAGCATGCTAAATCAATAGTTCATATTCCAATTGTAATACACTTGTATTTGTATTCTTCATTAATTTACCACTAAGAATATTAACCACACACACAGAGCCAATCCTTATTGCCTAATTCTTCATTTGCCTATGGCAATTGCGATTACCTGAGGTAAAAGTCACCCAAACTCAATTTTAAACACTGTAGCTTGTCCATAATGGAAAAAAATAACTGCTAATTTTTTCTTAAATATTATCTTCTTCCCCTTTGGGTTTAGATAGGAGTCACCCGTGAAAGGAGTACCATGTCTGACTATCTTTTAGAGTCTATGGACCATTCTGACAGTGGTAGGAGGAACAGAAGCTTCCAAAAGTTGACAGGAGTCTGAGAGACTGGAACTAGTCCATCTTCCGGCACACCTGCAGGGTGAAGACCTCAGCTGCCTAGAGCTATCACTTTATGATTCTAAACTGTTGACCTAATTATCACTTCCCTTTCTGTAGTCCCTTCATACCCTTTCTTCTGTTGGAGCTCTAGCTCCACAGGCTTGGAAAGAACTCAGAAACATGAGGATTATACCAATTTTTAGTTTAAAAACATAAAACATTCCAGGACTCATTAAAGCATTAGAGATGGAGGTTAAGAAACACAGAGAAGAGAGTTCATAGAAACCAACTTATCGGTGGTAGAACCACAGTTGAGCTTACTGGGAGCCTACAGGAAGTCTCAGGGAAAGCCAAAGTAGTAAATTGTCTGAAATTACAACACAGCCTCCTTTTCATTTTAGTATCTCACATTTATGACTCCAGCGTTGTCATTTGGAACTGGAGTTTCCCTCGAAGCATGTATGTTGAAGGCTTGGCTCCTATTGTGGTACAAGTAGAAGGCAATAAAACCTTTAACAGTTAGGGCCTCATGGTAGATATTCAAATCATTCATAGCATGCCCTTGAAAATGTATTTAGTACTTATCATAAAATATAATGAAAAAAAGATTCCAATGGAGGGTGCTTTCTACTGCTGTAACAGAGTGCACCGGCTCCCTTTTCTACCATTTCACCTCTCAGATGTTCGCTTATCCACAGTGAACCATCATCCAAAATTACTAAGTGGAAAATTCCAGTAAACCATTCATAAGTTTTATATTGTTCACCATTCTGAAAAGCAGTATAAACTCTCCATCTTCATGGAGAAGAGAACTATCCTTTTGTCCAGTATACGCACTATGCACCTTCTATCTCCTACACATCGGCTCACTTAGCATCTGTCTTGTTTGTCAGAAGGACTCTCACATTACATTGCTTGTGGTCCTAGAACTCCTCTATTTGCCTCACTTCACCTCATTACTCGGGCACAGGATCATGCCACATAAGCTTAAGAAACACAGTACAATGAGACATTTTGAATGCGTGTGTAAGAGACAGACAGACGGGCAGACAGAGAGTTTCTACAGCTTCACACATCCACTTGGAGTCCTAGAATATACCCTGTATAGATCAAAATTTTAAAAATGCATATAAGACTCACAGTTCTAGAGTATGGAATTCTAAGAGCCTGGTGCCAGCTCTTTTGAGGGCCTCCATGTGGAGCCACCGGAGGATGAGCAGTAAGCCTGCGAGAAACAAAAAAAGGAATTAGGTAAAACCCTTTTTTTTTCAATCAGGAATTTATTCCCAAGATAACTAGCTCACCCCCATGATAATGGCATTAATTCATTTGAGGGCAGAGGTCATGACTTAATCACCTCTTAAAAGTGATACCTCTTTGCCAGGCACCTGTGGCTCACACCTGTAATCCTAGCTTCTCAGGAGATCTTAGGATCATGATTCAAAGCCAGCCTGGGTAGAAAAATCCCCATGAGACTCTTATCTCTGATGAACCACTTAAAAACCTGAAGTGGTGTTATGGTTCAAGTGGTAGAGTGCTATCCTTGAGCACAAAGAGGCTCAAGAACCATGCCCAAGCTCTGAGTTCAAGTCCCTCAACCAAAAAAAAAAAAAGTACTACCTCTTTATAGCATCACAGTGCAATTTCACTTTAACATGAGTTAAAATTGAAATTTAAGTTTTGGATATTGGTCAGCTGTGGATAACTGAAACTGGATGGCGAAATGGTGGGAAAAGGAACTGGTGTGCTCTGTTATAACAGTAGAAAGCACGCTAGACAGTAACTAATCTTTTTTATATTGCTCCATTGCAACCTTTTAGTCATCATGTTTTCTGATGAATAGTAAATTTAAATCGAATTTGGGATTCTACAAGCATTCTAACATACATGTAAGTGGAGTCCCAGAAAAAAAGAAACATGGGAAAGAACACATATTTGAAAAAAATGGCTGTTTATATTCAAAAAATAAATAAAGTTAACAAGAGTGAAAACACTACTTATTGAGAAAGCAAGAATGAATTAGGCACTACGTGAGATATTATTTCATGTACTCTATACAAGCATTCCTATCAACCAAGTATTATGGTCACATTTTACAGATGGAAAAGCTGAAACAGAGAAGCTGACATTAAATACTTAAGTATATTGTTGCAGTGGGTTAAAAAAAACCCAGGTTCATATACAGTCTCCTTTGTTGACATGTGGTTGATTAGATGGAGTGTGCGTCCAAGGAAGTAGTAGTTATAAGTGTCATACAGCTAGAAACTCTGGAGTTGGGGGAAAATAGATAAAACAAAAATTTACAGAAAAAGACAGACGATATGGCCTTCAATTTAACCATGAAGCCAAACAAGTGCTGGAAACATCCAAATTACTGACTGTACATCTCAAAGGTAAAACAGCCCCAAGTGTGGTTATAATAATTGGAATCATAAAACCACAGAATTGTGAAATTACTTACAGATTGTAGTCTCCAAGCTCTCCCTTTTGGAAACATGGAAACATATTCTAGAAGGTTAAATCACTTACCCAAAATAACATAATTGGTTATTGACCTTTCTACTAAGCCATTCCCAATTCCATTCCAGAAACCATAAATTATTCATGCAGAGAGACAAACCCAGGTTTGGCAGGTCAGAGATTTCAGTGAGATGCGAATTGAGTAAGGATTTTGATTTATGAATCTAGGCAGCTATCCAGATTGACTTATCTCAGCGTCCTTTTGGGAAACAAACTATTGTGGATATCTAAATTGACCTCTATTCCACCCATTCAACAGTCATTGGGTATTTCGTGAGGAGGAGAGTAAATGACTGTGACACAATGCAAAAGACAGAATTAAAGAATATTAGAGAGGAAATTGATATTACCATATCCCCTTGTTGGCCAGATATAAAATACACAAAGCCATTTATGGTCATACTCTGAAGGATTAAACACAAAATATGTCCCATTTTAAGCTAATTCTTAGCAGCACACATCTCAACCATTTATACACATGCACAATATTTACACACTTATACATAGTATATATGTACATTTGTAAGTCTTTTGAAGGCAAGGGTTACATAGTTCTTACACATCCCCAGCATCTTACTGTAGGACTTGATGTTTATTGAAGGAATAACAAAAGAATGGCGAACAAGCACTTTCTTTCCCTCTCTTCCTTTCTCCCTTTCTCCCTCATTATATGTAACTTTATTTTCAGCCTTCTTATTGGGGTGACTTTGACAAGCAATTACATATATTAAGGTATACAACATAATGTTTTCATACTCATTGTAAAATTAATCAGTCAAGCTCATTAATATACCCATCATTTCTTATAGCTACATTTGTGTATGTGTGCCTTTTCTACATATTTGTTATGTATTAGAGACACGTAGATCTTACTTTATACCAAAGTACAATACTGGGAACCACAACCACCTTGCCATAAAAGCTCCCTAAGTGAATTGGGTGTAAATGAAACTTTGTAGCTTTTCTCCCCTCACTTCCTTTTTCCACTGACAGACACCATTTTTCATGTCCTTCATCTGCATGCACATGATGGCAAATGACAGGATTTCATCCTTCTCAAATCTGAACAACATTCGCTGTGTGTAGATACAGTTTCTTTATGCATTCATCTGAGAGTGAAAATTTAGATTCGTCAGTATCATAGTCACTGTTGAGTAATGCAGCCACGAGCACGGAAGTGCAGACAACTCCACAAGACAGTGATTCCATCAAAAAGTGGGATTCTTGGATCACTAAGGTAATCTCATTTTTAAATTTTTTTTAGGAAGCAGTTATAGTGTTTCCCATAATGATTGTGCCAATTTACATTCCGACCAACAGTGTATACCTGTTCCCTTTTCTCTACATCCTTGCCAATAGTTACCTTTTTATGCATGCGATAACAATTCTAACAGGTACGCATGGCATTTCAATGTGGTTTTAACTCCCATTGTCCTAGTAAGTAGTGACGCTACCCTCTTCGTATTCTTGTTGGTCATTTGGGTATCTTCTTTTGAGTCATACCTATGGTCCATTGCCCATCTTTTAATCAAGGTATTTGGCTATTTCGTTAAGTGTGTGAATTACTTAAATATTTCAAATAAACTCTTTGTTACACTTACAGCTCCCAAATAAGTTTTCCCATTTAGTAGAAGCATTTTTGCGTGGTTCAATGGTTCCTTTGATATGCAGAAGCTTTTTTGATGCAATACCATTTTAATAGTTTTGTTTTATTGCTGGGTATTTACTGACTTTTCCAACATTTCATGATGCCTCATGTTAAGAATCTTTATATGTATACTTCCTGTGGCATCATTTAAGTCATCAGTCTATTTTGAGTTGATTTTTTTAAATATGGTTGAGATAAGAGTCCAGTTTCAGGCTGGGAAGGTGGCTCAGTGGTAGAGCGCTTGCCTTGCATGCCTGAGGCTCTGGGTTCGATTCCTCAGCACCACATAAGTAAAAACAAAAAAAAAGAGTCCAGTTTCATTTTTTTTTCCTATATGGATATCCAGTTTTCCCAATTGTTAAAGAAAATATCATTTCCCCATTGTGTTTTCTTGGCATCATCCTTGTTGAAAATGTAGTTGTATAGCTTTATATCTGGACTTTCAACTCTGTTCCATTGGTTTATATGTGTTAATGCCCATATGATAATGTTTTAGCTAATATTGTTTTGAACATATTTTGAAATCAGGAAATGGGCTGCATCCATCTTTCTTTCTTTCTCAAGACTGTTTTGACAGTTCATCTTTTTTTCTGGTTCTATATAAATTTTAGAATTGTTATTTTTCTATTTCTATAATGAATGCTATTTAAATTTTGACAAGATCACATTCCTTCAGTAGATCTCTTTGAGTTTTAAGGTAGGTCATCTTTATATCTATATATCTGCCTTTATATCTATAAATCTGCCTTACATTTGTTTTGTCTTCTCTATTTTTCCATTCATACAATTCCCACTGCACAAGTTTTCTATCTCTTTGGATGAGTTTTTTTTACTAAATCTTTTACTTTTTATTACTGTTGTAAATAACATTTTATAATGATTTGCTTTTTATACAGCTTCTTGGTGAACAGACATACTATTGCATTTGTATGCTAATTTTTTGGTTCTTTGAGTATGCCAAATTATTCTATAAATTGTGTTTTGGTGAGTCTTAATTATTTTATGCTTGCATGATCGTGTTATCTGTACAAAGAAGTGATTTTACTTTTCTAATGAGACATATTTTTCCTAAAAATATAATCTGGCTAAGATTCCCAATATTATTTTGAATAGTGGAAAGCATCCTTACTTTGTACCTGAACTTAGCAGAAAATCTTTTAGTTTTCCCTGTTGATAATGACGTTGATAATTTTTCATGTATGGCATACAAAGGATCAAGGCAGCTTCTCCTACACTTGTTTTATTGAAAATGTATTATGAAGTGTTGTTCACTGTTTCAAGTACTTTGCCTGTGTTTAAGAAATGACCGTGTAGTTTTTTTCTTTCACTTTTTAGTATGGTGTGTCACAAGGATTGATTCGCATGTGTCAAATAATCTGTATCACATGAATTAATCCCATTTGGTCATGGTGTGGAATTCTTTTAATGTGCTATAAAATTCAATTTATTAGTATATTATTATGGGGCTTTGAATCTATGTTCATCAAGGAAATTGTATTATAGTATTTTATGGTTTAATTTTCTTATGCCTTGATATAAGAGTGATGTTTACCTATAAAATGAGTTTTAGAACATTAACTTTCCTTCCAGTTTTTAGACTAGTTTAAGGATTAGTTTTAACCCTATTTGATAACCTCCTATTAAATTACTAAATTAGAGTAGATCCTAAATAATAGTACATGTAATGTTTCCAGACTGATTTTCATGTCATTCATAATACCCATGCACATTTGTATTTCTTTCAATATTACCTTGGGTTCTGCATGAAATTAGAGGTTTGTTCTGTTCCCAGTTATATTACATAGCATGATTTTATGATATCAAAAATGTCAAATGATTATTCATGATTCCAGGATTTATATTAACACTGGCATATCATAGTTACAATTAAATTCAGCAGTTAATTTTTTATTGTGAAAATACCATACAGAGGGGCCCAATAGTAGATATTAACTTACTTTTCATTCCTCTTACTTAAAGTGAAAGTTTTCAGCAACTTTGAACTAGCAATATTCTCATTCCTTCAAGTTTTAGTCTACTTAGAAAACTCATGAACTTACCCTTTTCATTTTCAAGATATTTAGGGCTGGGGAAAGAAAAGAGGTAAATGGTAATAATTCAGGTTGTTCAAATATTCCCAGTAGTCCAATCCTTCTGGGTTTTGGTGAGCAAAAACAGGTATCTTAACATCTTAATAATCCCTAATAGTAGTGATATTTCATTCCCATGTAGATTAACAGAGATAAAAAGAAAGAGGAGAGATAATGAATATAGACCTGGGATTTATTCATTCATCCATCTCCAAAATACCTACTCTAGCCAACACAAAGATTCTTTCCCACAGAATATAGACTCTTCTCTGCTTAAAATAATCTTTAATTTTGAATACTCTGTAATTGCATAATGAAGAGAAACTAATTTTAAACAACACAAGAAAAACCATCCTCTCCTAAAGAAGATGAGATTCTGCTAGAGCAAATAATTCGCTTATGATCTCAAATATCTAATTCCAGAGCTCATTATTTTCAAAGCTATGTGCTTCTAACTCATATTAATCCCATTCTGGAAAGCAAAATCTTTTATGGTTCCCAAATACTCCACAGATATGCATCATACCTGAAGTGTTAGTTTTCTGGTGGGCATTCCTCTTCACTGTGAATAGACTCAGTAAGATGGTGAGTTATATGGGTCTATACCTGCATATAGTTGAATAAAACGTATTGTTCATTGTTGTATAATGGTAGAATTTCAAAGAACTTCCCTCCCATGCAAATAGCTGTTAGGAACTGTATGTGTCATTTATTGGTATCAACACAAAACAAATCTGTAATTCTGATACTGGATGAGAGAAAATATAAAACAATTTCTTTTATCTGTCTGAGGAATCATTTATTTTCTTATTTGTATTTTTTCCTACCTAACAAAGTACTCCTATTCAAAACTGCCATTGTTTTTATATGTTCATTACAATTATATATAAATATATACACACATATGTATAACACAGTCACCACTCCACTGTTAGACCAGGGATGTTATGAGGAATTACCATCTTCAGCATGTCACAAGCGCAGGAATGATGAATGAGAAAGACAGGTAAAGAGAACAGAGATGATTGGCTATAGCAACAGCTATAGCAAAAGTAACCTGTCTCTCTTGTCTCATGCTGGTGTCTAGCACCTACAACAAACGCTACTGGGCAATTCGGAATTGTTCTTATACTAGACCCTGGCCTCTCCTTATTTAGCAATCCCTCCTATGGGTCTTTAGAACAGGGATCCTGGTTTGCATGTCTGCAACAAGAAGACAAATAGAGCACCAGGCATCGTGAGATTCAATGATATGGCAGTTATTATAGCCTATGTAATAATTTCTTGGGCTTCTTAGAAATTAGTCCTATTCCATGACAGTAAAAAAGAAGAGATGAGGGTTATGTCCTATACAATGAACTTATAAGACACGACCAATAGAACTCCAAGCAATGGAACTCCAAGCTTTCCATCGATGTGATTCCTAGGCAGTGGCAGGGGCATCGAGAGCCCCCAGCCTCTGTCGGCTGGCCTCTTGCTTTGCTGGCACTCCTGGCTGGCTGGTCTGCTCTGCTGATCCTGCAAGCGAGGGATTATTAGCCTGACCACGAGCCCTGGGCTTTTGTGTCTTTGTTTGTGTTTTGTTTTGGGATGGAGATAGGAAAGTTGACTGGGGCCCCAGAGACCTATGGAAAAAAAAAAGTCAGAAAAGAAGGAGGAGGGGAGAGAAATGTGCAGTGACAAGTGTTTTCTGCTGCAAAAGTCATGAGAGAATATAAGAGTTTGATGCTGGCAGAGCAAACCGGCTACGCGCGTCAAAAACTAGGATGCCAGGATAACATCTCCTGAAACATGTCTCTAAATTACATCAAAAACTTCTATGAAGGATGCGTAAGTATCATACAAAGAAAAAATCATCAACTGGTACGTGTTTTGTTTGTCTATTTTAACCTGTGCTGGATGAATAAGTTACTCTAGATTTATGAAGGATACTAGGCATAACAATCATAGGCTTCGAGGTATTTTGAATTTGAAACTATAAATAATTCAAAAAGTACTTTCCCAGCTGTGTTTTAAAGGAATTCACCGTCAATTCCCTAGCTAAGCAATAGCAAACATTTTTAAACACTGCTTGGTTGTTAAGACAGTATGAATGTGAACTTTAATGCAGAATTGTTCATCCAATTTCCCCAAAAGAGACACTAGATAAGAAAAGACAGTGATTCTTTGTTTTAAATGGAACAAACAGGACAAGAGAATATTAACAGAATTCAAAGCCGTTTAAATATTTCCAAATTACTAGCTTGATGGGCACAATATGTGCTTATTTGTTGCATTTCATATGTGGAAGCCAGAATTCATTTATAAATATATATGTACATAAACACTTTGGGTGGTACTCAAGTGTTTGCAAGTGTATTAGCTGAAATATGGCAGATTTATGGGAGCACTCAAACAGCATAACTTCTTAGAAAAAAAAACAAATCAATTGTCAAACAAATAAACACCAGAAAACAAGTACTTTAAAGGTGGCAGGGTGAAATCAAGGGAAAAGGGGCAGACAAATGTAGAGAAAAGGAGGGGGATGCAGTCAAAAATTCAATGTACAACCCACAAAATTAAGAAGACTAAGAATGGGGTGGGTTCCGAAGGATGGGTGAAAATGCTAAAAAGGGTGACATTGATCAAGTCGCATTGTATTCACAAACATTTTCGAATGGCAACTCCTTTGTACAACTACTTAAAGATGATAAAAATATATTTTTAAAAAGAGTGAAGTTGCATGAGAAATCATATAGAATGTATACCTGTGTTTATCATCACTAAGGATCTAACTTTTTGAATCTTAAAAATTTTTAAACTATGGTCGTGAAAACGTCCTTTCAAACATCCTCTTTTGGTGTTTTTATTCAATCACGTTTTTGTCCTCTTAAAACCATGACAGGTTAAACCACCAACTGTGATTGGCCAGTTCCACACTCTTTTCTTTGGATCCGTACGAATGTTCTTCCTTGGAGTGTTAGGTTTTGCAGTTTATGGGAATGAGGCTTTGCACTTCAGCTGTGATCCAGACAAGAGAGAAATCAATCTTTTTTGTTACAATCAGTTCCGGCCAATCACTCCACAAGTAAGTCCTTCCATCTGCACCTATAGTTTGACTCATCAACAGATGCAATCTTTTCTTATTAAATGATATAACATTTTAAAGAATAGTCTCACAAGAAAGCATTTGAGAATTTCATTACTTTTTATTTCAGAAAAAAAATGAGCTAGTTGTTTCTTCCAAAGCCACAATTCCATTATCTTTGGATGTTCAATTGTATATTATATATTACAGATTGTATCTTTAATATAGAAATTAAGAAGCTACTAAAATTATTAGTGATTCATGCACAATTCTAATAAAGTAGGTTTTCTAGACCACTGTTATGTCTAAGATTTTAGACATATTGGTCATTACACCAGAGGTTAGACATTACTATGCTAAGACCTTTATGAAACTTGAAATTTTTTAAGTTAACTTTTGTGGAGTCAACCAATTTTTAGTCATTTTTTTGTTCCATGTGGATTAGTCAATTTGACAACAATGTTTCTGACACACTTTAGGTATTCTGGGCTTTACAACTGGTGATTGTCCTGGTTCCTGGAGCTATTTTCCATCTTTACGCAGCATGTAAAAGCATCAACCAAGAATGCATCCTTCAAAAGCCCATCTACACTGTGACTTATATCCTCTCTGTCTTATTAAGAATTAGTCTAGAAGTAATAGCGTTTTGGCTTCAGATTCACCTTTTTGGTTTCCAGGTAAAACCTCTTTACTTGTGCGATGCTGAATCTCTTGGGAAGAAAATGACTACGATAAAATGCATGGTTCCAGAGCACTTTGAAAAGACCATTTTCCTCATTGCAATGTATACATTTACTGTGATTACAATGCTACTATGTGTGGCTGAGATTTTTGAGATCATATTTAGAAGACTGTGTTTTTTATTTAGGCAATGACAAAGCATAAAATTATTACTCAAAATTATGCCAGTACCATTTCAATCATTTTGTTTAATTTTATCTTATTCAGTGAGTACCTTGATTTAAATATAAATGTTTTTTAAACTCACTTTGCTGTATCTAAAACTTATGTCTATCATAAAATATAACAGAGTTCTAAGTCAGACATTAAATAAACAGTTCATTCTGTTTTATCATTTATTTCACAATAAAGTATACATATAACTCATGTTCATTCATTTTTAAGTAGTATTTTTACAAACTTCGAATATACAACACTTGTTACAGCATTATCATAGCCAGAAAAATGTATTATCTCTTTTACAGACAGGATAATTAATAGTCAACAATGTTAATTTGTGTTCTCAAAGTCATACAACTGGACTAGAACCCAAATACTCCTTTTCTCATTCCACTGAAATATGTAGTTTGAACTTTGAGTATGTGATTATCTTTGAACTCATGTAAACTATAACATATTTAAGCACAAAAGTTAAAAGTTATTAAAGAGTAACTTTTATAGTTTAATCACTAACTTGAAGAAATTGAGCATTAAAATTGTTACATTTTAATATTATATTGTTTTCCTGAAATTTTAAATATCAAGTATCATGAAAATTTAGCAACTAAATAAATTTGAAACGCTATGGATAACAATGTACATGGTTTCATGTGTCTTCTTATGCCCATAGAGAGCTAATAAAAATAACTGCTATATTAATCATCATTGAAATGCAAAATTATGTATATTGTTTGACTTCCTCAATAGCTGCTAAATCGAGCCAATTTTGTACTGAGTCAGTGCCTGCCTAACCAAAAATCATCTTCATTTTATATCATTTAACATCTTCATGTACTACTGTCTTCTAATCCTTGTTTGGGAGACAGGGATAATCAAATGAATAGTACGGTGTTTAAGTGTTTGTGAAGCATTATTCAGTCTATGTCTGATGCCATATATTACCTTCCTCCACAAAAAGCTCTTGAGTACTTTTTATTGAACATGTGCCACATGAAGAGGTCATATTAAACAGAAGATAAAGACAGGTAAAAGTTTAGTGGAGACTGGTGTAATAGCACAGCCTGATGGGGCAGAATAATGTCTTCATTGTCTTTGTAGAGAATCACAGGCTCTTCTTACTAATAAACAGCAGCAGTGTTTCAGCTTTTATTATCATATTTGAATTGTCTGTGGATAATATATGTCCTCACTGGGACTACCCCCAACGCCTACCCATAAGCACACATGTCTTCATTACAGACCAAATTTTCTTCCCCCACACCTCTGCAGGCTTGGTAATTTTTAATTGGATGTCAGACACTGGGTCTTTTATCTTGTTGGGTGGCCAGTATTTTCTACCTGTAAATACTCAAAAAAGTTTCTGAACCATAATCACATAAATTCAGAAAGAGCTCTTACATAAATAGCTTATTCATTTTACTTACCTTGGTGACTAAATAGTGTTAGAACAGTTAATATTCATGTAGAAAATATAAACTGTAATTTTGACACTTTCACATCCATGGGGAGGTAAATGCTCAAGTCTGATGGAATCTTTGAGGAAGAATTATCTCTGTTTGGGGGGTGGGGGTGATGGCCTAACAATAGGATATAAGTCTCATTATACTAGAAGATAAATTACTGCCACATGCAATAAACTTGAAAGGCTTAACGATAGGTATTTATTACCCTGATTACATTGATGGATCTTCTGTCATTTACCACCAAATTAATTCTGATCAAAACTGAAACTGAGACTTTTAGTGTGAAATTATTACACATACACATGTATTCAAAGGGATAGTGCAAAGCTGTTAACTTTCCCATCAAAACTCTAGCTCTAATTTTTCTCCCATTTCTCCTTCCTGTGGTTATCTTTTAGTCCTATTTTATTCTGCATCTCTTCCCACCTCTTACTTGCCAAGATTCTATCTCCATTATGGATGATAATATCAGGTCCTTCAGAAACTGTCTGGAGCTAGATGGAGGAGAGTTTAGGCCCTTCGCCATAGAAAAATGTCATAATCAGTTCTCGACAGTAAAAGAAAAAAAGAAAAAACGTTTCATTGTTGTCAGTAATTCTGTGCTTCACCACATAATAGCCAATGTGCTGCTGTGTTGGTGGTGGTGGAAGATAACTTCGTTATCTTCCAACCTCATCCCCAACTACAAATATATTCAAATAAGAGAACGTTAATATGCTCCAGTCCTGAAGAAATAGTCAGGAGATAACAGGAAGATACAGCCCTCAACAGAAAGCAGTATTTTTTCTCTCAGTACAGAATGATGGAACAAAGAATGGAAAAGACACAAAGATATATTGGTCTATAGAAAACCATAGCAAAGAAGAAACAGGCTGGGTGCTGGTGGCTCATGCCTGTAATCCTAGCTACTCAGGCAGGAAAGTCCATGAGACTCTTATCTCTAATAAAACCACTCAGAGAACCAGAAATGGCGCTGTCGCTCAAGTGGTAGAGTGCTCGCCTTGAGCTGAAGAGCTCAGGGACAGTGCCCAGGCCCAGAGTTCAAGCCCCATGACCACCACCAACAACAACAGCAAAAGTAATAGTTAAGTACACAAGCTCTGAAACAAAAACAGCTAGGTTTTTAATATCAAGCACTCACTGAAGCTCTGTGAATATTTACTTGGTTTCCAAGTCTAATTTCAAATATGCTCTTACACTATCAGTGTCTGTCATTCTCAACTATCCTCTCATTAAGGGACACAGTATTCACAAAGAAGAGAACAAGTACAAGTTGCCTACATCCTATGCACCCCATTTTTTCTCATCTGCACAATGACAATGATAATGTTTCTGATCATGGTAAAAATTAAATGAACTAATGATATTGCCCTAGTAACATTCTTTACATCTAGTACTCAGAAAAGAATAATATTGCACTGATCTATGTCAGAAAGTAGCCAAAATAATTCATATCTGATTATCTTAATCCACTAGCAGGAAGTGTAGAGTTAATCAAAGCCATCAAAGGAATCCTTGGCAATGGTGATGGCCTCACACAAAGAGAGTGGGGAAATCTTGAATCATCTATGGACATTCACTGGGGCACTGGTCTTATTCCTAGATATACTATTCATATTTTATCAGGACTTTAATAAAATCATGACATACAGGATCCAAACCAGAACAATTAAATCATGGCATAGGAAGGGAGTTTGGACCTGGATAGGAATCCTTTTCAAAGCTTGTGGGCTGAAGTTTCAGGGCAGACATTGAGCATGAAGAAATAATTAAGAATATAATAAATGAAAGTGGTGTAGGTAGAAACAAGATGTGTATAGTATTCCACTTTTTTCTCATCAGTTTCTCTACTGTTAGGTTTTTAAAAAGAGGTAGTCGAGTAAGAACAGCACCAGCACGCACGTGGTATTCAGGTAAGGGGTAGGTTTATTCAGTAGACCTGCTGGGACCAGGCAAGGTTTGCACTCCACGTGGCTGAGAAAGGCCTGGCAATGAGAGAGAGCTGGGAAAGAGAGGAAAGAGCTAGAAAAGAGCAGAGAGAGGGGTAAGAACAGTAGCACTCACGTGGTATTCAGGTATTCAGAAGACCTGCTGGGACCAGGCAAGGTTGGTACTCCACGTGGCTGGGAAAGAGAGAGGAAAGAGCTAGAGCAGAGAGAGAGCAGAGAGAGCTAGAAAAGAAGAGCAAGAGCAAGAGAGCTAGAAAAGAAGAGCAAGAGAGCTTCTGGGCCTGGGCTAGGCCTTATGTAGGGTATGGGCGGGGAAAGGTGTGGCCACATCAAATTCAGATGTGACCTCAGCTGATGCAGATGTGACCTCTTCCAGGTGTCCCAGTTGCCTAGGTAACGCAGGTAATGGGTGGAGACTTTGCTGCGAGGAGGGTGGAGTCTGCTAGCCATCCAGGAGCGGACCTTACATCTACCAATCCAGTAACTTTCAAATGAAAAGCCAACATAGTGGGAAGCAAAGAAAGGAAGGTTCAATACCAAGTGGTAATGAATGTATGACTGAGAATGAGGAATTATGCAGAACTCAATTTCCTGCTGGGTGAAATAAGCCAATCCCAGAGGAAGCTGATAAGCTTCAGTTATTAGAAGAATGGACAAAAGACACAAAGTAGAATAACACAAAAACATGGAACGAGTTTTTCCAAAGTGGGATAGTGGAAGCAGAATGCAGAAGGAAATCTCAGATCTTGATATTTTGGTTCTTGAAAACAGATAAATCTCAACAAAAACTAATTTTAAGATGACATTTCAAAAGTGGGAGCTGAGACAAAACAAAATAAACATGTAGGCAGTTAAAGGTGCTCAAGTCCTCTGAAATCTTTGATGATAGAAAGGAAAGCTGATACCCACTGTACAACAATATTAGTCAATGCATTAAGACAAATACTGAATGTAAGCATATCCCATAATAAGCAACCTACAGCTTATTCTTTCACTAAAATACCCTATCCAGTTCACAATTAAAGTACGTTTTTCTTTAAGTTGCGGGTATTTGGTGTTTAAGTTTGGGGGTAAGCCTTGGAACTTCAATGTTTAAGCACACCATTTTTCAATTTAAAAATACTATTTCTCTAATGCAAAACAAAATAAAGTTTCTAAAGTTAAAAAGAAACGTTACCCTGGACACTATCAACAGTGAAACATCCAGAAATGATACCAAAGGGGGTGGCCGCCTTTGCTCTTTGTGCCGGTCCATAAACATTTTCTCCAGTTTTCCTTCCTCTCTATTCTTCCTTTCCCCCTGTAGCACAATATAAACAAAAACAAAAACAAAAAAGAAAGCTATTCTTGCTCCGACCAGCAGAGAGCGCCGGTGCCATTTACAGACTGGATCTTCTCTAGTTTGTAACTTCCCGCAGCCAGGACCACGGGCTCATCGCGTCCGGGCATCTGTAGTGGAGTCGCCGTTGCTAAGCAACCCGGGACTGGGCGGGGTTTTCCCCGAGCTCTCGCGAGACTACCCAGCCAGGCGGAAGCGGAAGCTCCGGTGTCCTCGGAGTGAGAAGTGCTGCTTCCGTGAGTGGCGATGGCCGCGCTGGCTCCGCTCCCTCCGCTCCCGCCGCCGTTTAAGAGCATTCAGCATCACCTGAGGACGGCCCAGGAGCACGACAAGCGGGACCCGGTGGTGGCCTATTACTGTGAGTCCTCCCGAGCCGCGCGTCCGTACACGGTGCGGCCCACACGCCAGCCCGGGTGCTCGGGGGCACGCCCCGCCCCCCGGGCCTTGACCTCTGACCCGCCCCGGGCCATTCCTGGGTTCCCGCCCCCCTCCTCGGGGAGCCTGACCTGGGGGTTCCCCCGGCACCGGAAGTATGCGCGGTCCCCCTGCCTGGCATCCTCCAGGGTCCAGAGCCCTGGGCGGACGTGGCTCCGGCTTCCTGGGAGGGCGCGCGGCCCCTGGCCTGGCCGGGCCTGCAGGGCCCTGCTCGGTGGGCTCGCTCGTCCCGAGCACCAAGCCAGCCAGCGCAGGCCGCGGTGCTGGGCGGAAAGCCGCCCGGTAGACCTCGCTGAGCACGGCAGCGAGTGCACGCAGGCAGGCCCCCTTGACGGGCCAAGCTAGGGAGCGGAGAGCCTCCGCTGCCACGGGGCCGGCTGTGACCGTTTGAACGCAGTGTTCCCACCGTGCTGTGATGCTTGTGGGAAAGCTGGTGCCTTTGGTTCAGACTTCTTTTCCTTCCCCGAAGGACTAGTGCTGGTAATGTTATGTAAACCTTGCCTTGTATTTACCACACCTCCTCGTTTTCCCGCAGAGAAAACCAAATGACTTTGGATTGGAGAAGTTGAATACAATAGGTGCTTTGTTGTGGACATTCTCAAGAGAGCTCAAAACTAGTCCATCTTCATGCCTGCCTTTCTTGGACATCTTCCCCCCCCCCCCCCAACCCCCTTCTCAAAGGTGCAGGAATAGCCGTCTTTTTCCACATTCAAAGGCCTGACTCAATTGTCACTTTTTCTGTAGGCAGCAACTTGATTATACTGCGAGTTGAAGCTCCTGTAGTTAAAATTGTACAGCATTATTGACACTATATTTGCTCTTCAAGTTCCACAAGAAAGGACCATTATTCATGCATTCCATATCTATTTATTGAGCTTTTGCCATATACCAAGCATTACTACCCAGTGTAGCTGTAGTTTTATATTTACCTTGTAGCAAGCCTTACTATCTACATAGCTAGTTTCTGTATTCATAGAGCTTATGTACAGTGGGAGTAAGGGAATCAAACAATAAAAACAATACTAGACAACAACCAAAAAAGATAAGGAGTACGAGGATGGTTGTAGAATGTATTGAGGGAATTTAACTTTTAATGTCGTCAAAGGACACTTCACTGAGCTGACATTTGAGTAAAGAAAGGGGTGAAAGGCACTCGTGTACATTTTAAAAAGAATATTCTTTTCTGAGGGAACAAAAAGTCAGAGGCAGAGGCCTGCTTGAAAGAGGAGATTGGATACCATTGTCACTTGAATGGATAGCACCAGGAGAAAGTGGTATGATAAGAACAAAGAAGTAACCTCATTAACAGTGAAACAGGGCCCCTTGTTTCCCTGGAACATTATTCCCCGTTCTTGGACTCATTATTACTACATACCCTTGTGACTACATACCCTGGGAGCTTTTATTTCCTGTGTCTTCTTCTGGCTATTTCTTTCTAAGCTTGTTCCAGTTTCCCTTATTTAAAAAAATGAATAAATAAAAGTTTTCACCATGATTTTCCCTAAAGAATTGTTTACCAGACCTCAATAGCCTGACATGGTCCTTCCATTGTCTTTCCATCCTTACCTTGGAGAGCCTTTCCAGCCAGTCTGGTTTCCATGCCCACTCTTTCACTGAACACTTCCATGGTAAGTCCTCTTGACACTTAGTCACACTTTGTTATGAAAAATAATAATGGATCCTTGCGTACTGTCCATACAGAGTTTAAGGAATAAGAAAATGAACACTGATGAACTCATCACTCCTCTTCATTTTTGCTCCTCTAGTAGAAGTGAATGGTGTCTCATGGGAATGATATTTGCAATTCTTTGAGACTTAATAAGATTCCCCATCTTTTCATATGTTAATTAGCAATGTGATTTCCTTTTGAAATGCCTATTTATTGCTTTTGCCCATTTTTCTATTGTACTCTTTGTCTTTCCTTGTAATAAATACTAATCCTTTGTTAAGTTTCCCCAAGTCACAGTCTGGTTTTTAACTATATGAAACCCTTGTTCGAAAATTCTTAATTTCGAACTTAAGTTCAGCACATTTGGGTTGTTTCTGATTAGTGAATATATAAGTAAAGCTATCATATTCACCTGTACTTTCCTGTGCTTTTATTTCTCTGAAATGAAAGACCAGAAGTGTGATTCTCCTGTCATTCTCACTGACAGCCAGTATGAGGGACCCAGTTTCACCATTTTCTCCCCACTATTTTATGTCATTACTTCCTAATTTAGTCATTTTAATAAATAGACAACTTAATTTTTATTTCCATGAGTCTAATGTTGAACATCTTTACATGTACTTATTTTAATATACGTGTATCATATTCAATGAAAACTTCTTCATGTATTCTAGTTATTAGTCTTTATCAGGCATTTGTTTCAGAAATACTTTCTCCCAGTCTTTAGCTTTATCATTTTGTTTTTACATACAGAATGATTTTAGTGATTTTTTTTTTCTTTCTCTGACACCAAGTCTATATATGACTGTGTATTTTTAAAGTCCTAATCCATTTTATTTCTCTATTCTCCAAGGCTACTTCAGCTGATTCTTTTAAGGGATTACCATTTTGAAAGTTTGGGTGACAGCATTATGCTAGTTTTTAAAATAGTTGAGATGATTGTTTCTATTTGCCCAAATGCTAATTGGGTTACAAATTAGAAAGCAGCAGATGTCTCTTTCGGAGGATTAAAGAAATCTTGACATGGCAGACATTTGTGCTTTTTATGAAGGTTGGTACAATTTTTTATCTGGAAATTAGATGGTGGCACTTTTCCTTCTCACATACTGCTCACATTTTTACATTCTATATTTTTCCTCAGTTTCTCCGGTACCTTATATTTTATATCTAAACAGTTGTAGTTTCCTGGCTTCTACTCCAAACAAGTAATCCCTTTTGCCTCTGAAACATCTGCTTAGTGCATTATGCATGGTCAGATAACCCAGAGTAAGTGGTAAATGATGGAGTGGACTATAAACATTTAAAAATTCTGTGACACATCCAGTGCAAATTAATATAACAGATATTACATTGGGAAAAGTATTTTCAATACACAAGGCAAAAGGATAGTACCACTGGTATGTATAAAGTACTCATACAAATCCATTTTTAAAAAGATCTACACTTCCCATGAATAAATAAACAGACATGAATATGCAACTACTGAAAGAACTTGCTCATTACTAACTTTCATCTTAATTAGTTGTCAGTGCACAGTTTTAACTCGGTGCAGATGAGCGTGGTATTCCTCACTGACTTGACTATGCAAATTAGTATGACACTTTGGAAAGCATTTTGGCAAAATGTAAAGTATCTATAATTCAGCAATTGCAGTTGTGGAAAACTTGTGTTTGGGAAATAGTATATACTAAGAGTGTTCTTAGAATTTTCCGAATGTTTTGTATCTGTACTTGTGGTATTTCAATTTTTCTATTTTTTTGCGGGTCATGGAGCTTGTGGCTTGAACTCTGGACCTGGGCGCTGTCACTCAACTCTTCAGCTCAATGCGAGTACTCTACCACTTGAGCCACAGTGCTACTTCTGGTTTTCTGGTAGTTAATTGCGGATAAGAGTCTCACAGACTTTCCTGCCCAGGCTGGCTTTGAACCCTGATCCTCAGATCTCAGTCTCCTGAGTAGCTAGGATTACAGGCGTGAGCCACTGGGGCCTAGCTCTTTTTTTTTTTCTTTAATAGAGCCAGAAAATATTTGAGTCCATGTTTATCACTTACACTGCATGTATGATAAATATTTTGAAAGTGCCAGATTTTGTCCTATAGGTAAAGCTAAACCCAGAAAGATCTTTTGAAGTTTGCTATAATTATAGGTTGACAGTTTCAATCTACAAATGTAAGTGTAGAAACATTTATATTAATAAACATCTTCCAGCATTCCGTTGTGCCTGCCTCTATGCCTCTTCTTTTACTTACCATCCCCACTTCATTTTTATCCATATGGTACAACCTTGAATATCACTTTTTAGCTGGAGGCCTTCTCTCAGTCCTCCTTGTTTGAGATGTATCTTCTGTTTATCTTCATGGTGTCTTTTATGGGTTTTAGTTACTTGTTTTATTTGCCTGTCTCCTCTTTGCTGTGAATGTGTAGAGGTTTGCTTTTCAGATTTTGTTTGTTCATGAACTGTGCCAAGTGGTGATAGGGCACTAGAGATATCCACATAATAAAGAGTAGATGCTCCAAACTTGCTAACTTCACCTGAGTTTATTGTGGTCACTGATCTGTCACCTAAGAAAAAGGCCAGACAATGACATGTAGCTCTTAGCCTTTGTGTCAGTTCTTTCCTTTGGGATTCCTGATTTTGTCCTGTTATTAAGTGACCAGGACCTCAATGAAAACTGTCAGAGGAATACTGATTGAATGAAAAATTGTCAGTAGTAGCTGGGTACTGGTAGCTCATGCCTATAATCCTACCTGCTCATGAGGCTGAGATATGAGGATCGCATTTCAAAACCAGCTTGTATAGGAAATTCCATGAGACCCTTATCTCCATTTAACCACCAGAAAACCAGAAGTGGAGTTGTGGCTCACAGTGGTAGAGCAAAAAGACTCAGGGACAGCACCCAGGCCCTGACTTGAAGTCTCACAACTCTACCCCCCCCCCAAAAAAAAGTCAATATTAATTTGTAATTAGAGAAATGGTTGTTGGGTGAGCACCATTGTGAATGATGAGTAAGGGTGTTAAGTTGGTGGTAAATTAAGTGGGAGAAAAGTCAGTGCAGTAACCTGGTTCAGTCCTAAGTGGTAATGAAGGACACACTCCACACTTTCTCTTATTAAGACTGTATTCTGTTACTACCTGTGAGCTCTATATCTACTCCCACCTACACACACACACACACACACACTTTTAATAAAACCAGAAAGCAGGAGTCACTACTAAAAAGAACAATAGATGGTCAATGATAATTTTCTTTTTGC